GTGGTTCAGATAGAAGTGATTGTACCCGACCTAAAAAGCCTCTGCATGTTTCTAATAAGCTCCACGAGCAGAAACGTGCTCAAACTAGGATCAATATTGGAGATGCTTTTGAAAAATGGAGAGAGGTTAGAACACAGAAAGGTTTACAGACCCATGCAGAGCTGGATAAACACTGAAGCTTCAGAGTCCACCACATGGTGACCTGAGTGAGCATCCACTCTAGAGAGGAGGGGGGGGGAGACAGCTCTCTATGATGTTTAGAATTTAGACTGCAGTACACATTTTAAACACTAGGGGTCAGAGGGGTCAACCTGCAAATACAATTTGTTGTATTTTTCTTTTGCACACATCTGCAGAATGTTTAAAAAGTCTTATGAGTTATTTTTTGTTTCATGATCAGCAGGTAAAAACAGTCTGAACACTAAATACGTATCTTCTTCTTCTTTATATTTATCGTATTATTTCTGTGTCTTCAGTTCACTTCTGCACGTACAAAGAGAAGTTCATCAGTCTGTACTGCCGCCTGTCTTCCGTCCTCGACCTCGACGCCCTCATTACCCAGCAGGCATTGAGGGAAGCGATCACTGACAGCGAGGTGACCACGGCTAAACAGAGACACCAGCTCATACTGGACTACATCCAGGTAAAGAAAAACACACACACACGCAACACCTGTTTTACCCAGCATGCATTTCATTTACAACAGAGGACGACAAACTATATCTGTTGTGAATTTGATTTTACAGACACGAAACAAACGTGTCAGATTTTAAATGTCGTGCTCAGATGCTACACACCTCCTAGTCGTGAATTTCGATAACGACTCCTCGGACTTTAGTGAAGATTTCTGATTCCATTCCTACATCCTGGTCCTTTTTGTCTTGCTTACGAACAAACTTTAACACCTTCAGTTTCACTTACTCGCTGAGTAAGTCAGAAGGGAATTTGTGTTTCCTGTGGTGAAAGTCTTTTAGCATCAAAGATGGAGTCAGCAGCTTCTTCCTTCAAAATAAAATACAGACTTCTCCTTCAAAATAAAACACAGACTTCTCCTAAAGTGAAGCTGGCTGGTTCCTTCAAAATAAAACACAGACTTCTCCTAAAGTGAAGCTGGCTGGTTCCTTCAAAATAAAACACAGACTTCTCCTTCAAAATAAAACACAGACTTCTCCTAAAGTGAAGCTGGCTGGTTCCTTCAAAATAAAACACAGACTTCTCCTTCAAAATAAACACAGACTTCTCCTAAAGTGAAGCTGGCTGGTTCCTTCAAAATAAAACACAGACTTCTCCTTCAAATTAAAACACAGACTTCTCCTCAAGTGAAGCTGGCTGGTTCCTTCAAAATAAAAGACAGTCTGCTCCATTGTCCCTTCTGGGCCTCCGTACATGTGTGGTGGTGACTGTGTCTGCAGAGACTCTGTCCTCTCACTGGATTTTACTGTTCTGCTTTGTGATGGTTGACTCGGGACGTTTGTGGGCGGAGCTGGTGTGTTTCCTCCAGCCAATGACAGCACAGCAGGTGAGTTTAGGAGTGGATACAATTCAGTGATTGGACGAGATTCAAAGCGGTGAATATGACGGACGTGGACGTAGCAGCAAAGAAGAGAAAATATAATGAGAGTGAGGAGAAACACCAAGTGGATAAAGATCGTCCTAAAACGAGGGTGAACCTTGTGTTGTCTTTTACCCGTGGACGTGGAGTAGATCTACTTCCTGTTGGACAGGAAGGTGACAAACACTTGTGCTAGCGTGCGTTAGCTTGCAGTGTAGCTACAAGCAGTGAACGTATGTATGAGTCCAGGAGGAGGGGCTCAGTTTGTTGTGTTTACAAGCTGTAATGAACATTTTGTACTGACTCTACAAAACAGTAGTTTGTAGATATCTGGCTCTTTGTCTTGAAACATTTATGAAAGAATTATTTAACAGTTGTGGAAAACTATTCCTCTGTGATGTCTGAAACACATCAGCAGCTGCTCTGAGATCAGTTTAATTCAGTCTGAAGTCGTCTGTGGTTTAAAACACTAAACACAGCCATGAGGTCACCGCTGGACCGTCACACAGAAAGTTTCTCGAGACGCTGAAAAGATGAGAAGCAGCCGTCACACACAATATATTAAACAAAAGAGTCTGTAATCCACTTTGAGATGTTTATTGGTGTAATAAAGTGTAACTGCGGCGAGTGTGAGCTCTTAAACGGACTGTTTTTCTTCAGTTAAAGAAATCACACAAGTCCACAAGAACCAGAGAAAACCGTCTCTCTGTGAAGAGTCACCGCCGCCGTTAATGGAGACGCACCGCAAAACCACAGTGACAGAGCCGTGTGTGTGTAGCTATTCGTCTGGCTCTCTGTCTGCCATTTACAGCTCGGAAAAAAGTCGCCCAGACGAGAGAGAGAGAGAGAGAGAGAGAGAGAGAGAGAGAGAGAGAGAGAGAGAGAGAGGCTCATGAAAGACAGTAAAATGTTGATGTAAAGGGCCACGTCTGTCTATCAGCACTTCTATACTTGTGAGGACCCTAGAAGAAGTAACCACTGGACAAAATGTTCAATCTGAATTGTGCAAAAGAATTCTTTGTATAAAAAATGACCTTACTTTGTCATCTCTCCTCAGAAGTCTCCACTTAAGATACTTTCACAGCTTCTTCTTTCATGATATAAAAATGTTCAAATGTCTCTCTGAATGTGTCAGGTCAAATAAAATCATTAGTGTCCTTACTCTGAAACATGTCTCAAACTCAAACGTCTTTGTGTTACAAATATTTATTTAAAAATGTCAGAATAGTTTGAAAGAGCTCTTTTCAAATTTCTTAAATATTTTATTCCCAAAATGTTCTCTTTCTTTTTAAAAATAAATAAAACTCATATTTCATTTTTTATGTCCTCACTTTTATAAGCGATGTCCTTCCTCTTTGCAAATGTTCTTTTACTTAAAAAATCTTCACTTTACCAAACTGACCTAACTTTCTAAAAGTGTTCAGGCTGAACTGAACTCAGTTCATGAAAAATGTTTAAACTTAACAAACTGCAAATATTATAAATGCTCTAAATCAGGGGTTCCCAAACTTTTCAGCTTCCGACCCCCATTATGACAGTGATAGATACTTGGGACCCCACATTTGACGGACTAGAATAGAATAGAATAGAATTACTTAATTGATCCCAAACTGAGAAATTGTTGCGTTACAGCAGCAGGTTGTCCAAACACACAATATGAGCAAAAATCACAATGTTAGCAAATAGTATAGTAATAATAGTATAATAATAGCAAATAATATAAATATTAGCAATTAGCACTAGGTCAAAACACTGGCATTAGAACAGCAAACACCATCATATAACACATGTAATTTATTGTAAGAAACTACTTTTTTTACTTACTGTATTTTCAAATTAATGGGTGAAATATCCAATTTTTTGGAAACCATTTTCCATATTTATATGTTTTTGGAAGGAATCTTCCAAAACCCCCCCAGTGAGTCCCGACCCCCACTTTGGGAACCACTGCTCTAAATAAATCTCCCCAATTTTCAGGACAAACGTTCAAACTCCCTGAAGTCCTAACACCCTTCAAATGTCCTTACTCTCCTAAAATCCCTTAAATGTTTAAGTGTCCACAGTTTATTTAAGTGTCCTTATTCCCTAAAATTTCCTCAATTTTGAAGCGTCCACACTGAATGAGAGGAGCTGTCTAAATTTCCATAATTGACATAATCGTTTAAACCTTCTTACAGAGTCAAAACTTTTCCACACTCTAAAAAGTATCCCGACTTTCTAAAAATATTCTCACCATCTTTAAATGTCCAGACTCTGTAAAAGTGTTCCCCTTTCTAAACACATCCTAACATTGTCAGAAAACGTTTATTTCTAAATGGACTTTATTTTTTTAATGAACTTAATTATGATATATAAGAGCTTTATGACTTATTTTAACTTTTCCAAAAGGTGCAATTTATAGACGTCCCCACTCTCATGATCTACATTTTTAAGTGGTCCTCATAAAGACATGAAAACCAGCACACACACACACACACACACACACACACACACACACACACACACACACACACACACACACACACACACTCTTCTCTGACCTGGGAGGTCCTGACAGTATGTGTGTGTGTGTGTGTGTGTGTGTGTGTGTGTGTGTGTGTGTGCTGCAGTGAAAGTGGGTTAGTGTGGGGATGACGTGATGCTGTCGTCTAATTGGACAGTTTGTTTAGACTCACCACATGTTGATGAAGGAAAGACTCGACTCAGACGGAGCTGTCTGCCTTGTTGGAGAGGAGGCGCTGTGTCGGCCATGTTTCACAATACCCGATATTTAAACCTCGATATGATTCTAGTAAAAATCTAACTCTATTGATACCAAGGCAACAGAAATAGAAGTCCTAGATGTGCAGTATTGGGTAATTCTATTGTTTTTAATCACCAGAAATTGCATGTGAACTCCTACACATCGGTCTTAACCGACTAAAACATTGAAAATGTGTCAACGTAGACTTTAGTGTGTGTAGGAGTATTTAAATGTTGACAACCTTAGTGTCTGTGGCTGCTCTTCAGATGTTTGTGTCTCCCTGGGACGTTATGTGGAGCGAACTCTGTCGGGAACTGATGCAGAATCCCCCTCCACACACACACACACACACACACACACACACACACACACACACACACACAGTGAGGTTTGTGGGAAGTGACGCTGAGCAGGGAGATCTGCTGTAGCTGCAGGTCGTCCTTGTGTCTGTATCTCCCTGTGACCTGGATCCTGACGCTGCAGAGCTGCTGTCAGGATGATATGCTGCAGATGTGTCTTTGCTCCAGAAACTTCTTCTTTTTTTCTTACAAATTCGGAGAGCCGGAAGGAGGCTACAGTGTGGATTCGTCCGCCATTGTGAATTTCACGTGAAAAACATGAATGAAACATGTTTCAGCCTCTGAGCGAAACATAAACAAGCTGAAGGAAGAGCCGTCCAATCAGAGCTGAGAATAGAATGACTTTATTGATCCCAAACTGGTAAGTTGTGGTGTTACAGCAGCAGGTTATCAGAGCAAATAAAACAACATAAGAATAGATACATAAATAAACACTTAAAATATAAAAAATAAGAATAAGAAGAGATTTATACATCAAGGATTTAACATTCTTACTGGTTTAAAATGAAAAATGAAATACAACATTTATTCAGGCTATGGAGTCTGACTTCACTCTGTTTTTATGAAGTCATTACTCCACTATATATTTACATACAGGATATATTTGATATCTGTTAAATGAATGCTTAAGACGTCACATATTATACCCCGAATGAGCTCATAAGCATAAAGTAACGACCCTGTGTCCAGCGGAGGATGGTTTAATAAGCATAATTACATAAACTACAGTGTTTGTGTGATAACATACTCAAGGTCACTTCATCCACATTTTTAGACAGACTAAATAATTTGAACATTTGAATAATAATAATAATAATAATAATAACTTTATTTATATATCACCTTTTATAAACACAGGTTTACAAAGTGCTTTGACAAACAGCAAAAACAAGAACAAACTAAACCAAACACAGAAGAACATAAACAACAACAAGAACATAACAAATACAAAATACTAAAAATAATTAAATACAATTCAACAGAAAAGAACCCAAAGTGCACGATACCCAACAGACATATAGAACCATCACAAGAACCATCACAGGAACCATCACAAGCACCATCACAAGAACCATCATGAGAACCATCACGAGAACCATCACAAGCACCATCACAAGAACCATCACGAGAACCATCACGAGAACCATCACGAGAACCATCACGAGAACCATCACAAGAACCATCACAAGAACCATCACAAGAACCATCACAAGAACCATCACAAGAACCATCACAGGAACCATCACAGGAACCATCATGAGAACCATCACGAGAACCATCACGAGAACCATCACGAGAACCATCACAAGAACCATCACAAGAACCATCATAAGAACCATCACGAGAACCATCACGAGAACCATCACGAGAACCATCACAAGCACCATCACAAGAACCATCACAAGAACCATCACAAGCACCATCACAAGAACCATCACAAGAACCATCACAAGAACCATCACAAGAACCATCACGAGAACCATCACGAGAACCATCACAAGCACCATCACAAGAACCATCACAAGCACCATCACAAGAACCATCACAAGAACCATCACAAGCACCATCACAAGAACCATCACAAGAACCATCACAAGAACCATCATAAGAACCATCACAAGAACCATCATAAGAACCATCATAAGAACCATCACAAGAACCATCAAAAGAACCATCATAAGAACCATCACAAGAACCATCACTAGAACCATCAAAAGAACCATCATAAGAACCATCACAAGAACCATCATAAGAACCCAACAACACGAGCTGAGACCAAGAGGAGCAAAGATTTAAAAAGAAGTAAGAAACTAAAAGAGCTCAAAGCAGATGTAGGTTGGTTAAGGTTGGAAGGTTAATATTAGCGTCTTGCTGTGTTTGTTGTTGGTAAACAGAGCGCAGACGTGCGGCCTCCCCTCTGCGGGACGAGCAGGAATCTCCTCCATGTTTTTTCTGTCTGCTGTCGCAGCCTCGACATTCTTTCCAACCGAGTCATCGCTGCTGTCAGTCTCCCCGCTGTGTGTGTGTGTGTGTGTGTGTGTGTGTGTATTTGTCTGGCACTCCTGCTTTCTGTCTGACAGTCGGCTAATTGCTGCTTAAGTTTTGTCACGGTTCTTTCTCTTCAAAAGCAAACACACTCACGTTTACACTCACATTCACTCGTGACACTTTTACTTTCATTCAATCGTCCAAAATGTTTTAAAATACATAAAATGTGTCCACCGCCTCTGATTATAAATAGTTTTGGGGAATTTATTTAAAATAGGATCAAAAACAGAATTTACTTTATCAGGATTAAAGGCTTTATATGTGATTTTTTGATCCAGCAGATGTCGCCCTTGAGCACCAGCATGAAACCAAAACAACTGGCGCTGCATTGTTGTGTTAGCATGCTAATGCTAGTGATCTTTATTCTGCTGGTATCTTCACACTGCATGTAAATTTACCTGAAATGAGCGTGATCTAGAAACACAGTTAAGCAGTGAGTACAGTATGTTATTCTTCTTTTCTCTAGTCCCTCAATTAAACAACTTTTATACACGAGGGGAGGAGTCAGCCGGCCGTCCTGGCGATGTAAACAAAGTGAAGATAGGACTCTGAAAACTCTGAAAACATCACAGACAGTGGGACTCGGGTGTTACACCCATTGTAGACAGTCATGACTCACAGAGTTATTTTCAGAGGAGATATAAAGATATATAAAGACTTTAAGAGAATATTTATCACTTGTCACAGCAGTTGGACGAGATGCGTCGTGACCTCCGCTGGATCACCGACGCCCTGCAGTACGCTCGCTACAAGCAGCCCCGTGGCGGCGTCCCCATCACCTGCCTGGTAGACGCCAACGCTCCGGAGAGCGACCCCAGCCAGCAGAAGAATGACTCCACCTCCTCCAACATGGACTACCTGCCCACACCTTCCCCTTCACCTGAGCTCCGCAGGAGGAAAGCCATCAGCGGTGAGTCGTCTCTGGAGCTTCAGTTTTAAAATCTCATTGTTCATCGCATGTAGCCCCTTTGTTAACCGCTTTCCCATGACCCTCTGATGTCAGACTCTCTGCTCGGCTCAGATGAAGACGGGTCCTCGGAGGTTTTCCTGCCGACAGACAGCGACTACGACTCGAGCGACGCCCTGAGCCCCCGCGAGCTGGACCTGCTCTACTCTCCCCCCCAGGGTCTTTCCCAGCAGGCCCTGCACTCCCTGGGCGGCAGCGCTCCAGACGTGCTCCAGATCCATGAGCTCAGGTGAGTGGTTCATTATAAACATTTACCAAAAAAACACACAAGTCAATTGCTGTGATACTCGTTCATTATACATCGGTATTAATTTATACCAGAAACAACAGATCTTGTAACGCCATTAAAATCAGTCTTAAGGATAAACTCAACAGCTTCACTGTGGTGAAATTTTTTTGAAATATGTTCAAACTGGGCTAAATTAATAAACCGATGTTGTATTTTTGGTTAAAATAGAAAAAAGTTTCAACATGAGAGAAACTATCGCTACGTCTGACCACAATAAAAACTTTCCCCTGGTAGTTTTGATATAAACATTTCTACACTATAAATGTGTTTGTGGTCCTACAAAAGCTGGCATCAGTACTTAAACAAAAACAAATACCTGAATACCAATTAGAGTAGTTACATGTTCAAGCACCTTTCAGAGGCCGAGATGCTAGCTAGCAGCTATCAGCTGTACTCAAAAGTCAGGAATTAGTTGTCAAAAAATAAAAGTCTTAATTAGTGGCTGACAGCGTCAATACTTGGGGCCGAAACATTTATCTAAATACCATAAGTTATGTGTTTGAGCATCAGTCAGAGGCTGAGATGCTACATAAACAAACAGTTGGTATGTTTGATGCTAGCTAGCAGCTATCACCTGACCTCAAGCTGTTAGGAACTGATGAACAAACGTAATATCAGGAAGTGTGAATGTATCTGATCCTGGTCCATGTCCTGTCTCTCAGGTACAGCGTCTGCCCCCCCACAGACCTGCCCCTCTCTCCCGCCCTGAAGGATCCTAAATCTTCCCCCCTCCTCACCCCGCACTCCCCCTCTCTGTCCAAGCACTTTCCGTTCTCTACCTCGGCTTTGCCTCGTTCTCCCTCGCTCTCCAGGACCCTCCCGACCTCCCCCTCCCTCCCCCTGTCCCCCAGATTCTCCAACGACCTCCCTCTGTCCCTCCCCCTCTCCCCTGCGCTGTCCGACACCACCAAGACACTGGAGGGCCTGTCCCTCTCAAAGGAGGGCATCGCCCCCCTGAGGGCCCTCGCCAACCCCCCCGCCAAACGAAAGCTGCTCTCCAGGAGCCACCGGGGTCAGTACTTCAGCGGTCCTCAGCGCTGGCTCAAGGGTCACAGCGGGGAGAGCCTCACCGGGTCTCTATCTGAGGGGGTCTACACCAAACAGGTGGACCAGGACCTGACTCCGCTCGGGGACAGCCCCTCCCTGCAGGGCCCCACCTACGTAAGCCACGCCTCCTGCGTCCTGGAGAGCAGGAAAGGTCGACAGCGAGAGCCCCGACCCCACATACGCCGGATCTTTGTAGAGCCTTGCAAGGAGCTGTCTCCAGGCCACGAGAGGAGGGACTGGGGGGAGGGGGAGCTGGGGGGAGGGACGACGAAGGAGGTGACGGCGGCAGGTGTGTCGGTGGTTGTGGCTCAGGTGGAGTCGGAAGGGGAGGGGGAGGAGCCAGAGGGAGCTGCCACCCAGGAAGTAGACTCAGACGACCAAACAAACGCCCAGGTGTCAGAGATCCTGAGCAGCACGCTGTAGGTGAGTGGTGTCAATCTGAATGAAGCTAGGGCTAGGTTATGATTAGCCTAGCTTAGCATAATGGCTAGGTTTGTCAAGATACCAGATATTTAAACTTTGATATGATTCTAGTAAATTCAAGTTAGAGAGTGTTCAGAAGTTTTCTTTGATGGACCCATTCTCTCGTTCCTTCCATTCCAAAAAGAAGTTTCAGTGGCGCAGTTACCACCAACTCTTAGCAGACGGTAATTATTTCACTCTGTGCATTGCTGTTAGCAGAGCTGTTTGTAGACGCTTTTTAAAACATTATTCACCAGCTGACTCTACAGTAGATCATTTAAATCCATGCTCACAGCACCAACGCACAGAGACGCTGTTTTTACTCTGCAGCGCAGTTAGGGGAGCGTTTAACCATGTAGTCATTTATGGTCCCATCAAATAGACCAGAGGGCGGGGCTACCTCGGATTGACAAGTTGTTACCATGATGATGTTTTGCAGCGGATTTGTAACTTCTTGTCCAAGTTGTTCCAAAAAACAAAATGGTGACGGCAACAATGCCGAACGTTAAAGTCTTAATAATAATGTCTACAATGGGTGTAACACCCGAGTCCCACTGTCTGTGATGTTTTCAGAGTTTTCAGAGTCCTATCTTCACTTTGTTTACATCGCCAGGACGGCCGGCTGACTCCTCCCCTCGTGTATAAAAGTTGTTTAATTGAGGGACTAGAGAAAAGAAGAATAACATACTGTACTCACTGCTTAACTGTGTTTCTAGATCACGCTCATTTCAGGTAAATTTACATGCAGTGTGAAGATACCAGCATAATAAAGATCGCTAGCATTAGCATGCTAACACAACAATGCAGCGCCAGTTGTTTTGGCTTCTTGGTTTCCCTCAAGGGAAACATTTGAAGGCAGAAGACCACATTTGCTGGATCAAAAAAATCACATATAAAGCCTTTAACTCCAGCTGTTTGGTCTCTTAATCACGGCCTCCTTGTCTCTCTCTCTCTCTCTCTCTCTCTTTCAGTGACGACCTGCCAGACGTGACCTCTCTGTAGATTGTAAACTAAAGTTGCTGGTTCAACTCCGCCAAGCCTCAGAACCCATGGCATCGACTGTTACAAAGAAGAAAAAAAATCAATGCAAACGACAAGCCAACACTGCTTCTCCGAAACAGAAAACTTTGCACACTTTGACCAAAAACAAGAAGCTTTGATTGATTGTGGCTTGGATACAGAAATATGACGCCTTCTCTCCCCCCGGTTTAGTTTCATTCACATCGCTGAGAAGGATTCCTGTCGTTGATTATCTCCCTGTGTTAAGAGCATGGATTCTCCTCTACTTGAAGTGAATGTACAGTTCAGTCTGATTGTTCGAGTCTAAATGTGGTCGATTTTACCTGTGGTCAGTTTTAAAGATTATATTAAATTTATATGATTCCCCAGAGTTTTAAACCGCCTAACAGACCACTAAAACCTTCTGAAGTATTTTTGTGATCTGGGGTTGAAGTCGTGTTTCCCCGAGACGTTGGTGGACGGTCAGATTTGTGTTTTGTTGGCATGAAGTCGTCTGTAGCCGTCCGTTCGTCTGGACTGAAGCGTCTCGTCCAGTTTGTGCCTCCTCCTGGTTCTGCATGATGCCGTCAGGGTCACGGGGGGGTGTCAGGATATCTCTGTCTGCACTTTGCCCCCCCCCCCCCCCGACTCACATTTCACCCGGGCCTGACGGTGTTTGTTGTGCTGTCGTGTTGACTTTTCGTTCAGCTTCTTCTTTTCGTTTTTTTCTGAGGCTGCTGCTGTGTTTTATCTTTTCTTACAAGCTGCACCAGAAAAAAGATAGATTTTTTTTGTGAGAAGTGAAACTCTGGTCGGTTTGAACATGCACAGATCCTTCACATGTATGCACGGTATTTTAACAGTGCGTTTTTCATGTTTGCAGATAGCAATTATGGAATAAAAGCTAATGGAATAGATTTGATGCATTTGGGCATTAACTGTGGCAGCTTCTCTCATTAATGATGGTAAAAAGGTCAATGTCCTCAAACGTGTTGATGAAGTATTCATTTGCAGGTGTTGTTTTTGTTTTGAATGTGTAACACAAATCCTGCAGGACTCACACAGTACTGCAGTCACCTCGTCATGTGGAAGAAGAGTTGGTTTTTAAAACATTTATGGAGGTAAAACAGAAAAAATCACGACAAAATCCAATGTTGAGTCGGGGGTGATTAGCGTAGCGTAGCTTAGCATAAAGACTGAAAGTGGAGGGAAACTGCCAACCAGGATCAGTTACATTCTTATTTCGTTTATTTCAAACGAACAGAAGTGTAAAAATGAGTGAGTCACAGAGACATGGCTAGCAGTTTCCCTCTGCTTTCAGTCATTATGCTAAGCTACGCTAATCAAAGAAATGACTGTGCAACCATTGTTTTTCTTTTATGTTAGACACATAAAAATGAGAGTGACGACCAGCTGAACATCCCAACCTCAGAAAGAGAGAGAATAAATACAGAAGTATTAAAAAACTATTGATTTTATTTTTATTTTAGAATGACGAGCGGTTTCTGACACCCATAGATTTTATTTTTGTAGCTTTGGTTGTTAATCGTTTGGTTTTAATAAATCAGGTGACTGTTGAGACGAACACGAGCAGACATGTTGGGAACAAACTGATTTTTAACTTTTTTACTTCAAAGTCGTCACGATACCAGAGCTTTAAAACTTTGATACGATTCTAGTGAAAATCAAACGATATTGATTCCTGTTTTAAAAACCACGACGACAAAAGTCACTCCATCTCCCTCTTTCTCTTAGACACCCCAATGTTAGATCATTTCTTATTCGATTATTATAAATTGCAGATAAACTCCTGCACACTGTCTGTGTTGAACTAAAATGATTTTTTTCTATTTAGACAGTGAGCAGGATTTTGTCCTGTCTCATGAGAAAGATTGAGTTGTGTTAAAGCTTCGGTACTTTTTGTTGCTCTCGTTCTTTAAAATAACAGAAAGTATCAATTTAAAGGTCACATATTATTTAAAATCCACTTCCCCATGTTTCTCTAACTCTAACATGTGTCTCTAGTCCGTCTACAAAACCCCCAATGATGAGAAAAGTCCATCCTCTCTGTCTTCTGCCTGCTCCACTTTTCAGAAAATGTGTGCTCAAACAGGCCGTTTGGAGGTTTTCCCTTCATGACATCACAAAGGGCAGTAGCCCCTCCCCCAGGTGGGTGACACTCCCACAGCTAGGTGTTTGTTCTGCCCTCTGAGTCTGCCTTCTCACCGTAAACAATAGGACATGGAGCGAGAAAGACCGAGTACACCCAAGCCCTTCCAGAGAGGGGGCGTGGTCAGACACAGCTCATTTACATATTTACATTTACAAATAAGGTATGTGATCTTTAAAGGTAGAGCTTGTATCCGATCTAATGCGTTTGGACTCTGTGCTTACATGTTGATGTCCGTCCTGTGTGAGGGTTCAGGTGAGTCTGTGAGCGACTCCTCTGTTTCTTTTCTCTCTTCATGTTTGTTTTTACGCCCCGAGGCGTCTTTGTGGATATTTTTCTCTCTGGACGACATCACGGAGTCATTTCTAACTCCGGACTTTATTTATTTGCAGCTGAAGGACGATTAAAAAAAGACTCCATTGTTTTCTCCACGTCTGAACTCACAGGATTGGATGTATTTTAAGAACAGAAATAAACTTTGTCTCACGTGGATGTTGTGCACTTAAACCTGCGAGCGTGTCTTCTGTCATGTTTTTATTTATTTTACTTCGTTTAAACCCTTTTAAACTTTTTACCATCCAGCATCAGACCGTTGCAGCAGAGACGACAGGTTGTCATCGCTGCGTCCTCGTTCATATCTGAGGCATTCTGGGTATGTGAGTCAAGCTCGGCCAATCAGAGGTCATGAGACACCGCTGTCAGAGGCGGACAGGTGATGTTACCTGTGAGCTGGAGCTGCAGGATCATCAGATTATAGATCATATCAGAGTATGCAGCGGTTTCTTTTTGATGATTTCTTCTTCTACACTAAATTAAACCAGTCACCTCGTACTGTCAAGGCAAACACAACCTGGGATATTTACCCTTCTCTAGGACTTCCAGGCGTCTGCTTTCTTTGACGTCATAACGTGGTGATGCCACGATAAGGGAGGCGGGGCTTAGATAAGGGAGGCTGAGCTCCTTTCCTCGTATCCTGTCACAGATGTTGATGTGAAGGTTGTCTGTCGACCAAAGATTGATTTCTTTCATTTCTTCATTTTTTACCCCCAAATTATTTCCACCTCCTCTGTCATTAAAACTGAAACATTTCCAGAAGAAGAATTTGTTTAACTACAATCGCTCCAAATACACGTTACCTGTGGGATTAAGTTAACTTCACTTCTTGCCTCGTGCCGTCTCGAGAATCGAAAAGATTTTAACCCGGTCTGGTCTCGGGTCTCAGACTGGACAGACTCCAGGTTTTAAATCACGACCACCACTGATCGGCTATTTCTCCACGTCACCGTCGTCTAAGCTAGAGACACGCCCCCTAAACACAAGATGATGATCTATCAGATATTTATGGTCTTGGTCTTGGAGCCCTCTGGTCTCGGTTAGTCTGGTCTTGACTACAACACTAGCTGGTGGTTCAGTCATAATACATCATCTTTTATTCCCTTTAGTTTGACTTTAATGTTAAACGTTTGACTTTTATCTCTGAGATTCGGTGAAGAAGTTAAAGGTCAGAAAACGAAGCGACTCTTCTCCTCGGTCTGTAGATTTACTCGTGACTCAGACGTGTGTGTGAGGTCTCACTCACTCGTGGACTCACAGTTTCTGGTTTCCTCTCACAGACTGGAGGTGTGTGATGATGAATCCTCCGCTGCCCCGAGTTCTGACTGTCAGGCTCAGACCGCCGTGTGGGAGGGTGTGAACCAACTGGAATCTCACACCGCGGCTGGCAGAGAGTTTTCCCGCTGGAGCGTTCAGGAGCGTCGGCCCAAACCACAGGATCGCTGCTGAACGACTCGACTCTGCACACAACGAGTCGCTCAGAGAGAGAGGAGATCCTGAGAGCTGCTCGGGGAAACTCTGTCTGAGGCGACCTGACCTATAGACGTTTTTAACTTCCTGTGTTTAAACCACAGCGTCATCAAGTAAGACAATAACAAATATTCAAATTATACTGCTGCCAAATCTGCTTGTGTGAGACCCAAGGTATGAAAAGAAAACCTTTCTGGTGCACACCAACAAATCAACAAAAAAAAGATTTTGATCTAACCAAAAAGTGTCAGACAGACCAATAAAGGTATCTTACTCTCTGATCATTAAGGAAACATGCTATGTTGAAGTGCTGGCTTCTCTGACAACAATGCAGCAGCCAGTATGTCCTCCTTCTAACTTTACATTCTGCTCCTGAATGCTCTGGATTTGTTTGGACCAGAGAAGGTAGGCGCTTTTAAGACACGCCCCAGAGTTACATACTGCTCCTTTAAGGTTTATAACTTTTTCAGTCTTCTGTGGTCAGTCTTCAAAGCGGGTGTATCATTCTCCAAAGACGTTGTCTTTTAAATATGGGGTTCAGTGTTAAAAAAACGATCACTTTCTGTGTTTTTTGTTTACGTTTTGAACAGCGTGATAACTGTTCTTGTTGTTGTTGTTGTTCACAAAGGTGAACCTGAAGAAACCTCACTCTCTGTTTACTCTCTGACTCGTCTTTTCGAGGTAAAAACACGACGTCACAGCGATCGCGTCCACTTATCATCAAAAGACTCGAGCTGCTGTTTGCATTTTCCACTCCATTCCAGTTTTCTTCCAGAGGACTGAGAGTGTGTGTTCCTCTCATCCTCACACACACACACACACACTGATCCACATGGTTTGAATCACATTCTTCTTTGATTTTCCAGCACGCGGCGACGGCGGCGGTGATACGGCCCGGCGCAGTGGATCAGTGGCTTGTCCACTTCAGTGTGTGTGTGATTCCCTCTGATGTCAGCGTACGACGTTAGCTTAATCTTAATAGTGAATCAGCGGCGGCCTCCCAGGATGAAGGACAAACGGACGGCGGCTCCGTTCGTGACCCGGGTCAGATAAAAAACAGAGCTGTTTGTTGTTTCTGTAATTCAGAGCTTTGATGGAGAGACAGCCGGGCAATTTGGACGCTCCATTTGGGTGAGAAGGCTTCAAGGTGGCAGAGACGGGTCAAACACACACACACACACACACACACACACACACACACACACACACACACACACACACACACACACACACACACACACACACATAAGGCTCATGTTTCAGAATTATCATTTCAAACAGTCAGTCGAATTAACTTTAACTTTAACGCTCTCTCGCTGTGAGATACAGATGTTTAACCAGATGTTCACTATGATCCAAACATGTTGCAGATATTCATCCCCCAAAATATCAGAAATCCAGAGCGACTGTTTCATGAAGGATTCAAAGATTCAAGGACGCTTCTGATGAACACTCAGGTCTCCGAGTACAATCGACTCGTGAATGTCAATAAATGTTTCTACATCTTTGTAACTTCAAGTAAAACTCGACATTCTGGTCCATGAACTTTACCACGTTCATGAGAATGTTTCCATCATTCTGTCTCATAAGATGAGTTTAAAGCAGCAGTATGTAACTCTGCCTCCTAGTGTTAAAATGTGTACTGCAGTCTAAATTCTAAACATCATAGAGAGCTGTCTCCCCCCCCCTCCTCTCTAGAGTGGATGCTCACTCAGGTCACCATGTGGTGGACTCTGAAGCTTCAGTGTTTATCCAGCTCTGCATGGGTCTGTAAACCTTTCTGTGTTCTAACCTCTCTCCATTTTTCAAAAGCATCTCCAATATTGATCCTAGTTTGAGCACGTTTCTGCTCGTGGAGCTTATTAGAAACATGCAGAGGCTTTTTAGGTCGGTACAATCACTTCTATCTGAACCACTTCTCTTGACCGCTTCCATCACTGCAACACCTGTTGACCTGATAACTGCTCTCATACTGACAAACTGAGGGGCGTCCAAAACGGCCGTGTGGGGGCGTGTCTTAAAAGCGCCTACCTTCTCTGGTCCAAACAAATCCAGAGCATTCAGGAGCAGAATCTAAAGTTAGAAGGAGGACATACTGGCTGCTGCATTGTTGTCAGAGATGACGTTCCTCTCCTGCACGTGTCTGATGGAAAAGACATTTTAAAAAGTGTGATATTGAATAGTATCAAACATTATGTTTTAATCATTGTTATTTTTAATGGATATCAGGAGAATCTCAAAAACAGAACCACAACATGTTCAGCCAAAGATTTAAATTATTCGTCCTGAAGAATAGATTTCAGCATTAGCTGTTTTTCTTTTTCAAACATCTTCCACCCCTGACCCTTGTCTCTCTCTCCTCCCCCCCCCCCCCCCCCCCCGCCCCTCACTCCTCCGGTTGCCTGTTTGTGGGTAATTTTCTGGCCGGCTGATGTGACAGTGTGTGACGGGCGCCGTTAAACTGTCATATCTCTGTTCAGAGGAAGTCGGCGGCTCTGATAAGGACTTCCTGTCTCTTTGTAAACCTTTTCTCCTTCACTTCACTCTCAGGGTCTCAGTGAAGGACCCCCGGGGGACGACTCGTGTTCACGCTGCCGTGGATCTGGTCTGGGGCCTTGAGGACTTTCAGGTTCCAGGAAAAGTCACCGCTGTGTCCTTAAGGTCGCAGACGGCCTCTGTGGAGTCTCAGACATAACGATAACCACATCCAGCCGCAGTCTAACGGCCTTTAGTACCAACATGTTCCCCTTTAAAAGACTCAAATCAGACCTGATCCAACTTTAAAGACATGCACATGTTGACCTGATGATGGACGCTACAGTCTAATGTTGAAAATATATGATTTAAGATCTGTAGCATTTAAGGAAGACAAAGGTTTATTCACACATTAAAAGTTCCTCTTCGGTCATTTCACTGTTTCATTGTTTTTATCATCGTCTTCTTGAGGGTTCCGATCATTACCTGGATATAAAGATGAACGTTATGTCTCCCTCTCATGTTGTATAAAATTGAAGCTAAAGAACCCCCTGCAACGGGCGCTGAGGTGTTGCGCTGGTGACA